ACACAGTAATAAATTGTGTAAAGGTCTGAGATTGAGAGAATGAGTGTCACTACGGAATTCGAATCTTTCTTTCAGATAAAGGGGTGAGAAAGAATCATTAAGAACTGAAAACAGAGTGGACACCATTCGAAAATCTCTGCGCTGGCGTATAGTTAACCACTTTAACTGGGAGCGAAATTCTGATTCGTGATCATATTTGCGCAGGCCAAAGATGAATCGTATGCAGTTGTTAAGTAACCTGTTGAACCTGCTTAGCAGCTCCTGAGAGTTATTAGGGAGACAAACATCGGCATAGTCAAATAATGGAAGAATTAGAGATTGTATGAGTAGTAGTAGTAGTAGAAGCTTAGTTCAAGGGGGCAGAAAGAACTTAAGACAATAGAGGGAATGAAGTATGCCTGTGACTTTACGACAAATATTTGACACCTGTAACCTCCAACTAAGAGTCGGTTTAATAATTATACCCAGATCCTTAACTCTAGTACGGAAGGAATTACACAGTGTTTAGTACACACACAGAAGCGAATGGATGGTAGATCAGGTATGTTAAGTTGTGACACCAATCGACAACTACCAATGATGATAGCCTGGCATTTACTAGGATTTACCGTTATACCAAAGCGCTGTGACCAGTCTGAAATGCGTTGTAAGTCCTGATTGATAGCTGCTATAGCGGTAGCAATTTCAACCGAGGACGCTTGTGAGTATAACTGAGGATCGTCAATATAGAGGTGGTAAGAACATTGAAGGTGGGTAGTAAGAAGATTGATAAACCACGAAAACAAGAGAGGACAAAGAATGCCGCCTTGTGGTACACCTAGAGACAAATCGAATCAGTCGGAAAAATCCTGACCAGACCGGACAGCCTGCTGGCAACCACGAAGATAAGAGGAAAACCAGTTCAGTACTGACTAGGAGAAGTTTAGGCGTGAATGTAATCCAAGGAGTAAGTCGTGATCGACACAATTAAATGCGTTTGAAAAGTCAATAAGGACCAGAACAGTCAAACATGACCTCTCCATGCCCTCTCTAAAATCTTCTGTAACTTGAAGCAACGCTACGGTGTTACTATGTCCCGGGCGGAAGCCAGATTGATATGTACTAAGGTAGTTGCATTTCGAAATGAAAGAGGTGACTTGTTTGTGTACCAATAATTCATGGGCTTTGGAAAGAAACGGCAGTATAGAAATAGATCTAAAGTGGAAGGTAAGGATGGATTTGTTACTTTAGCAAGAGGCAAGATAAAAGCTTTTAGCCATAACTTGGGGAAAACACCAGTAGAGAGTGAGAAATTGATGATGTGAGTGAGAACCGAAGTAATAATATCGAAATAATAACACCTCATCATTGCCAGTTGCGGAAGATTTTATTGAAAGTATGGCTTTTCTAGTATCATCGTCAGTCACTGAACTGAACTCGAAAGAATTACATGATAACAAAGGCAAAGAATTAAGTTCCTGGAGAGTCGTAGCTTTGGTAGACAAATGCAGACATGATGCAGAAGAAAAGTGTTTTTTCAGGTCATTGAGTGAAATATTTGGAATTAGAGAATTGGAATGTGATTTTCCAAATCCCAGGCAATCAAGGAACTTCCATATATCTGCAGAAGAGGAGTTTAAAATTCTATTGCGGAAGTAGCGGCGTTTAGCAGTTCTTACCACCTGATTACAGCGGTTTTGTGCTCGCTTATAGTGTTGAATGGTGGAACTGCTCCGATTCTTTTTTAAATTTGAAAGCTCGATCACTTCTTCTCATTGCTCTACGCACCTCATCAGTTATCCACGGTGCAGGAGGTCAGCGTAACCTAACTGCTCGAATTAGTGTGTGCCTATCGAATAGGTCGAGAATTTGGGTGTTCAAATGAGCAATTTTGTCTTCAATATTATTTGCATCCAGCAATGGACCCCATTCTATATTCTTAGCATCGCGGTGTAGTCGAATGGTGTCAATTTTATTGAAATTGCTTAAATACACAATCACTGGCTTTGGCTTGGGAGGCTTTAATTTAAACGAAATGACCCAAAGAACGTGTTGAGAAAACGCGGGAACAGCCAGTTGATCATGATATATAACATGATCCGCTGAACTAGTGCACATGATGTCTAACCATGAATCTTCGTTGTCCATGTTGTAGTGAATTAGATATAGAGAATATAGAGATCTGCCGAGTCCATGATGGCTTTGAGTTTGCGACGCTGAGGGGAATCCTTTAGCAAGTTGGTGTTGAAATCACCCATTATTATAATTTGTTTGTTAACAGTGTTGATAGAGTTGATCACCGATTCAATATGAGAAAAATAATCAGATGAAGGAAGGAATAATGGTTTTTTGCCGTCTCTAAAATACCGGGTAACTTTACCTTTCTTTTAAATTCTGTCGTCAAATTGAAAAGGATTTGGCGCTTTGAAGCGCTGTGGTGGAATCCGGGAACTCCCGGGTTCGATTTCTGACAGCAACAATTTCGAAGTTTATAATTTCTTTAAAACTATTTGTGTTTATTTTTATTTGAGTATACGGTTTAATAATAAAAAACTACAGGTACTTATTTAGCTTATAATATGTATTAATATATGCTCGTTGATCTACTATTTATGCACACTTCTATTTACGGATCTCCTTCACCAAGGCATAGAATAAATAAATGTAGTATTACGTTACCAAGGTTTGCCTGGAAGAGATTACTGTTTATCGATGAGGCCACATAATTGTACTTAAATTTATAAATTAAGGTTAGTGTGTTATTGTAATATGTTGTATCCAATAAATAGTATAAATGAATAAATTAATTAATTAATACGGTGCGAAATGGTATGTAAAATAGATAAGGAACCTATTCTGACTGATCGAATGAACATATTTTTGCTACTATGCGAATTCTGTGCCTAACGCATGCAACTTGCAAGGTCACTCGTTGCGAATCCCGATTTAATAAATCGCTCGGAAGAAATAGGTAGGTAGTGTAAACAACAAATAAACCCGAAATACGATTACTAAATGAAATTAGATTGTATTCTAATTAGTTAAGAACCTTGTAAACAAAGTCTTAATTTCAATGCTTTGTGATAACTTAAAATACTACTACTATACTACTACTAATTACAAAAAACATCTAAGTTACCTACTTAGATAGTGAAGTAAATTTCAACTAAGTTTTGGAATAAAGTACTTAGGTATTACTTCTGTATTAAAATGACTACTTAATTCTTTTTTGCTATAAGTATTTATTTAACCAAAAAAATTTAGTAAATGGATCTTTCATTATCCTTAGGTAACATAAAAAATTATATGATTTAAATCCTTCTGTTTGCTCGTCATCCATCCATCCATGCAACAATTATAATAGGTTCGAAGTTTTACCATTATAATTTATCAAAAATATAGGTAATTATATATTATTTTTAATTCACATTAAAAAAATTAACTATTTTATCCTACAATTAAATATAGTAAACACTAAACAAAAATTACAACAAGTGTTTACAAAAGCTATTCACGTAAACAGCGTTAAAATTCATCAATCACCTACAACGCGCTAGCCCCGCTTGCGTATTACGCCCTGGGTGAATCGCGATTTAAGGTAATTATTTCACGCAGGTAGCAAGAGTGACAGAGGCCTGGTAGAAGTAATAATAATAATAATAATAATAATCGTGCTCGAAAATGATCGCGCCAGGCTCTATTGGGACCGGGCCATCATCACAGACAGGACTATTCTTGCGAATAAGCCTGATATTGTGCTGATGGACCGGGCACAGTCAAGGATATTTTTGGTCGACATTACCATTCCGTGTAACGAGAACCTCGTGAAAGCCGAAACAGATAAGCAAACAAAATATCTGGACCTGGCTCACGAGGTGACCGACATGTGGGGTGGTCTGCCGACCGAAATTATTCCTGTAGTCGTCTCTGCAAACGGGCTAATCCCAGTCAGCCTCTCGGGTCATCTGAGGCGGCTGGGACTCCGTGACGGACCGCTCCAGGCTCAAATGCAGAAGGCGGTGCTCCTCGATACCGCCCGCATCGTCCGCCGGTTTCTTTCCCATGTCTAACCATCGGCCGTTTGGTGCCGCCGACTCCGCTCCCCTGCCGAGGGCATCCATATGGTTGGGCTTTTATTTATTTTCGTATTTATTTTATTTTATTGATATTTATGTATATTTATCTTTTCATTTTCGTTTATAATTATATATTTATACATCCCAACCAGATGAGAAAACTATATAGATACCCCACATAATAATAATCGTACGTATGGCGTAGGGAATTGACGACTCCATCGCCCGCTGACGTAACAGTTAAGTGACAAAACTGCTACGTCAACGCAGTCAGTCAGCGCCTTGCGAGAGGTGGGAGCGGCGTGCCTCGGCAGAATTTAGGGTGCAAAGGCCCGTTTATGCTTATGGCCGTACACGATACGGTGCCGGGCCTGGGCGTCTCCCGTTAATGGACGCCCAAACCATGGATGATGGAAAAAAAGATAGTGCACAAAGGGCCGCTGCCTGGAGGTCGCCAGGGCGCATCTGGAGCTGGCGCTGGACGCGACAGCATGCGGGCCGCATCCATCATCCCCACCAGAAGGCTTGGTATCGGCTGGGTCGTCTCGGACTCAGCAAGATGCACCCGCCGCTGGTGGAGCACGTCGCATGCGTTGGTCACAATTAATGAACGCAAACGCACTCCGGGCGTACTTTAGGGCAAAGGGGGAAGAAACTGGATGTTTGGCGTATCGGGCTCGGATACCATCTCTGGAGCCATCTCTATCCGTCACTGAGCAAAACCTGGCAAACCAAGTTCGGTACATCCTGCGCTCCAACATATTTGGTGACGCCTAACTCGAACGACTACGACGTGAGGCTGTTCCCTCATCGAATGGAAATGCTACGGCTGGGATTGCGGTGCCACTAGATGCGCAGCAAACTGCATATGTCGATGCTGCCGTCAATATTTCATTTGTGGTTAATTCAGACGATGATGGAATAGTCTCTAACGAACTAGAGAAAATGAGGAGCATATTGGAAGAGTCGATGCTGGAAACGCGCAGCATGCCTCTCGAAAATCGACTGCGACTTCCCCGCATTCCTCTTAGCAAGCGAAATCGGGATGTCGTGCGGGCTCTTAACCCAATGCTGGTGACCTATTTGAAATCATTGGAGCGACCAGAGGTATATGGAACGGGCCCAGGACCGGATCAGGCTGACACTGTCGCATTTTGGCGTAGCCTGTGGTCAGAGCCCGTAAACCACAACGAGGGCCCTTGGATGGAATTTGTGGCGAGCTAGAGTGCAAGTGTTACGCCTATGGACCCCGTCACCATAACGCCTGAAGACGTGGCTGAGGTGGTCCGTAGGGCCCCGAACTGGAAAATTCCGGGGCTCGACGGGCTTCATCATTACTGACTGAAGGGGTACGTAGTGTGTCACGCTGTACTCGCCCGACAGTTTCAAGAGACTCTCGATCAGAAGTCGCTCCCGAGCCTCTTCACTACTGAGATCACTCACTTGGTTCCTAAAGATCAGGATACCGCAGACACGAGCAAATACCGCCCCATCACGTGTCTACCCACCATATATAAGACACTGACATCCATTTTGAGCGCGAGAATCACTCGTCACCTGGAGCTAAATCAGGTGATGGCACGTGCTCAAAAAAAAGAAACAAGGAACTACTCCTCATTGACGCGGTCATTGGCAAAGTGGTGAAACGCAACCGTCGGAACTTCTCCGCCGCCTGGATAGACTACAGAAAGGTATTCGACTCCGTGCCCCATACATGGCTAAAAAGAGTCCTCCAGCTGTATAAGATTGACTGTACAGTTGGAGACTTCCTCGAGCATAATTGAGCGAGCTGTATGGGGCAGTGGAGTACGATCCTTTGCTATCTGGACGAGCGAATGATGACTGCGAAGAACCCCATAAGGATAAGAAGGGGTATCTTCCAGGACGATTGTCTGAGTCCAATCTGGTTTTGCCTCTCTCTGAACCCTCTCAGTACTTTACTAGAGGGCTCCAGGAGGGGATTTCAGCTTCGGAAAAGAGGTACAAAAGTGACCCACCTTTTCTATATGGATGACCTCAAGTTATTCGCCTCCAGTCGCTCCCATCTTATGAAATTGCAAAACATCACTTGTGAATTTAGCAATTCTATTGGAATGGAGCTGGGGAGGGATAAGTGTGCGGTCCTCCATGTTGAAAGGAGAAGGGTTGCTAACTCGGAGGGCATAGACTTATCTATGCCAGTCAACTTAAGGACCCTTTCCGAGGCTGAAACATACCGATACCTGGGTATGTCACAGAACATCGGTATCGATGAGGCTGGTATGAAACAGTCTGTTTGCGATGTGTTTTATGCACGCTTGACCAAAGTGCTTAATAGCCTTTTGTCAGGTGTGAATAAGACACACGCATATAACGGTTGGGTCATGCCTGTTCTCATGTATACCTTTGGCATACTCAGGTGGACTCAGACTGAACTTAACGCCCTGGATAGAAAAGTCCGCACTACCATGACGTCCCATAGGATGCATCATCCGAGATCGTCGGTAATGAGGCTGTACTTGCCGCGAAAGCATGGTGGGCGTGGCTTCTTGAGCGCGCTCACCATGCATAATCGCGAAGTATGCAGTCTCCGTGATTACTTTCTGGCGAGATCGGATGATCCATTCTATAAGGACGTCATTTCTTGTGATAAAGGACTTACCCCTCTATCCTTAGCCAACGAGCAATGGCAAGACCCGGCAGTGCAGAGCATTTCCGACTGGGAGACCGTATGGAAGGAGAAGGAGCTCCACGGGAGGTTCTACAAGGCTCTATATGAGCCTTTCGTAGACACAGTAGCCTCCCTCCTCTGGCTACGCTTTGGTGATCTCTTCGGGGAAACCGAGGGTTTTGTCTGTGCAATACAGGATCAGGTTATTAAGACCAACAACTATCGGATATACATCCTAAAGGATGGCACCGTCGACATCTGTCGAGCTTGTCGACATCTCGGTGAGTCACTTAGGCATGTCATCTCCGGTTGTTCGGCGCTTTCTAACTCTGAGTACTTGCACAGGCACAACCTAGTAGCCAGAATTCTTCACCAGGAGCTCGCTTTGAAATACGGTCTCGTGGATCCGAAATTGCCGTATTACAAGTACTTGCCGGAAGCCGTGCTCGAAAATGATCGCGCCAGGCTCTATTGGGACCGGGCCATCATCACAGACAGGACTATTCCTGCGAATAAGCCTGATATTGTGCTGATGGACCGGGCACAGTCAAGGATATTTTTGGTCGACATTACCATTCCGTATAACGAGAACCTCGTGAAAGCCGAAACAGATAACAGACAAACAAAATATCTGGACCTGGCTCACGAGGTGACCGACATGTGGGGTGGTCTGCCGACCGAAATTATTCCTGTAGTCGTCTCTGCAAACGGGCTAATCCCAGTCAGCCTCTCAGGTCATCTGAGGCGGCTGGGACTACGTGGCGGACCACTCCAGGTTCAAATGCAGAAGGCGGTGCTCCTCGATACCGCCCGCATCGTCCGCCGGTTTCTTTCCCTTTCCCCCTAACCCTCGGCCGTTTGGTCTCCTCTGCCGAGGGCGTCCATCTGGTTTGGCTTTTATTTATATATGTATTTTTACATTTATTTTATTTTATTGATATTTATGTATATTTTTCATTTTCATTTATAATTATGTATTTATAGAACCCAACCAGATGAGAAAACCATATTTATAGCCCCCAATATTAATAATAATCATTTAAACATGGTACATCAGAGGTGACAAATATTGGATATTGTATATAGTCCATATGTTTACCACATCTGGCATGCGAAAATTATTAATTGAATGAAAAGACATAGTTATGTACCGCCATTGATAAATTTAAAACTAATAAATATAAACTAAAAATGTTAAAACTTCAATCATTATTTCAAGCAAATAATTTAAATATGCATTATTCATTTAAATCAAATAAAATTAAAATTACAATCATCATGTCAATCATTATTAAAAGTTAAATTAGAATATCAAAAGAGTTAAAATCTACATATTACACAAAAAAATAAGAATACAATAATGTCAAATTCAGGCAACAAGATTCTATTCATTTAAAAATTGTTTTACGTCATAAACGCACTTTAATGGTAGCCAGCTTTTTAGTTTGCTTTTAAATTTACCAGTTTCTGTCTCTTCTTTAATGCTTACCGGAAGTTTATTATAAATTTTTACACTCATCGCGTAGCAGCCATTATGATAAAATGCAGTTTTAGGTATACGTTATATAACTAGTCTATTAGAATTTCGATTGCTACGCAAATATACCTCAGATGCTTTTTTGTATATATCTAAATGTTTTTTTACATGAACACTTGCTTCAAATATGTACATGCCTAGTAAAGTTAGTATGTTAAGATCCTTAAATAAGGGCTTACAGGAATCATACCATTTGGCCCCAGTTAAAGCTCTCACACACTTTTTTTGAGCTATAAAAGCTCTTTTTGAATAAGAGCTATTACCCCAAATTAATAATCCGTATCTTAATATTGTTGCAACATATCCATGATATGCAATGAGTGCGGTTTGACTTGACGATGTTCTTCTTAACCTATTCAAAACATATACAAATCTATTAATTTTATCACAAATTTCGTCAATATGAGCCATCCAATTACAATTACTATATAGTTTTATTCCCAGAAATTTCTTCTGTTCGTTTTCTTGCACTTTTTCGTTATTATATCTTATGTCAAGATCTAGTTTCTTTCAATTATTACTATAAAATTGTAAATAACAGGTTTTGGCGATATTGACCTTCAAGTTATTATTATGTAACCATGAAATGACATCATTTATTGCGCATTTTATGTCGTTTTCGTAATAATCTTAATTTCCATAATTATTTTTTATGATTAAAGATATGTCATCCGCAAACAAAATGCATGGGAATGGAGTTGAATCCGGTAAATCATTTACATGAATTACAAACAAAAAAGGCCCAAGAATACTTCCCTGAGGAACTCCAGCGTACTTAAGAACTAGTCGCGATCTGAATTTTGTCAAAATATTATTTGCGACTGATCGCACCAAGCGTTCCCATGCGCCACCCATATTTGGCGCACCTGGAGGGATGAATTTCCATTGCACGCCGATCTTCTCTGCTTCTGAGGTGAGGTCTTCTTGCTGTAAGGTGTCGAACGCTTCTTTTATTTCTTTGTTGGCGCCGACGAAGTTAGTCCCGTTGTCGCTGTAGATTTTCTTAGGCATCCCTGTTCTTGCGGCGAATCGTCGCAGCGCCATGATCACGATGTCGGTGGAGAGCGAAGGAGTTAGCTCAATGTGCACAGCCCTTGTTGTGAGGCATGTAAATAGAGCCTCCCATCTCTTTTCGTGCCGTCTTGCCACGGTGATTGTCATCGGGCCAAAGTAGTCCCCGCCCGTGCACGTAAAAGGAGGATATCCGTGCATCAGCCTTTCCGCCGGTAAGTTGCCTGTTGGTATTTCTTGAGGTCTTGCTTTCCTTGTTTTGCACCATTGACATTGATGCTGAACCGTCTTAATTGCTGACCTTAAACCGAGTACCCAAAAGCGTTGTCGTATTTCATTCATTACCGTCGCGTGATTTCCATGATTGAAGCGGTAGTGGAATTCTTCTATGATGAGTTGTGTTGTCTTGTCCTTGCTGTCGAGCACGATGGGTCGTTTGTAGTCCCTGGTCACACCCTCTATCGCGTCGATTGATCCTTTTAGCCGCAGGAGACCCTCTTCTAATACTACGTCGAGCCTTTTCAATTTACTGCTGCCCTCTAATTGCTTCCCTTGCTGAAGGCGCTTGATATCTTCTCTGAAACTGTTGTCTTGGCTTCTTTTTCAGCAAAAGAGTTTCAACTTTCTCGAGTAGTTTGGTGTCCATCTGTATATATTTCCTTTCTGTTATTTTTGAAGATCTGTGTTGCTTCTCTACAGTCTTCGTTCCTGTTCTTTGTGACATTTTCCAGGTGGGATCATTTTTGCAGACATTGACCTTCTCCCCTTTTCTGCAGAGTTGTAAGAACTGCAGTACTCTCGCTGTGGCTCGCCAAAACCTCTTCCATGAAGAGAATCTCTCCGGGTCTGGTGATGGATGAGATGTTTGTGTTGTTGCTGCGACGTCCGCTGCCCTTTCTTCGCCGGTGGTTGTTTTCTTGAAAGTTCTTGGTGTCGGCCAATGTGCCTCTTCTTTTTTCAGGAAGCTTAGTCCGGTGTACCATCGGTGGTTGCAGTTGAAGTCTTCTGGTACGTCGCGTGTTGCGTCATCTGCAGGATTCTGCGCTGTAGGCACCCACCTCCAGTCTTGCGGTTTGGTGAGGTCCTCTATCTCCGCTAAGCGATGAGCCACGAACGTCTTGAAGGTTCTCGAATCTGTTTTTATCCAGGAAAGTACGATGCTGGAGTCTGTCCAAAGTGTTTTCTTTGTTACTTTTAGGTCCAATTCTCCTTCAGCTGAATGAGCCAGTCTGCTTCCTAGAAGGGCTGCCTGTAGCTCGAGTCTCGGGATGGACACTGGCCTCAGTGGAGTGACTCTCACCTTTGCTGCAACTAAGCTGACGTGGTAAGTTCCATCTTGCTCTTCTGTCCTCGAATAAACTGCCGCTGCGTACACCAGCTCGCTTGCATCAACGAAAGTGTGTAGCTCCCCCTCGGTGCAATGTGGCGCCAGGCATCTCGGAACTTGCAGGCCTTGGAGCAGCTTCATCTTCTCCAGGTAGGTTTTCCATGCTTCGTACTCCCTTTCTTTTATTTCGTCATCCCAACCGACGCCACTTCGCCATATGTTCTGAAGCAGCTTCTTGCCTTGGATGAGAACTGGTGATGCTAAACCAAGCGGATCAAAGGTCGACATTACTGCGATGGTAACATCCCTCTTCGTAGGCACCTTGAGTCCTCTTGCTAGTTGTTCTGGTGTATTTCGGAGGTTTGCCCTGAAGCCGATGGAGTCCCTTTTGGTGAACCAGCGCAGTCCTAATGTCTTCTCTTCCTTCTCGCCTAGGTCCACTTCTGTTTTCTCAATAGTGTCGATCTTCACGTCTTGCAGCAGCTCGAGTTGATTTGACGCCCTTCCCTGAGTTCGAAGCCTGCCTTCTTGTGTATGAAGTCCACCTGCGTCGTCACTTTTCTAAAGTCTTCTTCTGAGTGGAAGCTGTGCAGGTAATCGTCCATGTAATGGTTTAGCTCGATCGCCCTTGCTGCCTCTGGATACTGCTCTTTGAAGTCCGCTGCGTTTCGGTTCTTCACATAGATTGCGGTGCTCGGAGATGATGTTGCGCCGAAGATAACCGATGTCATCCTGTACTCCTTCGGAGGCACATCGCGACGAGCCCCGCGCCACAAAAAGCTCAGGCTATCTCTGTCTTCTGGTCGAATGCGAACTTGAAGAAACATTTCTTTGATATCGGCTGCCACAGCTAGCGGGCCCTGTCGAAACCTTAGTAGTATCCCGAAGAGCGACTGTAGTAGATCTGGTCCTGGCAGTAGAGCATCGTTGAGGCTTCTTCCCTTTGACTTGGCTGCAGCGTCGAAGATGATCCTTATCTTTTTCTTCAGTGGATGTACTACGGAGAAGTGAGGGAGGTACCATTTCTTCTTGGAGTCCTTTTGTGTCATAGGTGCTTCTTCTGCATACTTGCTGTCGATAAGATGCTGGATCTGCTTGATATATTCTGCCTTCAGCTGAAGGTCCTTATCCATCTTCTTTTCAATATTGAACAACTGGTTCTTTGCAGACGAGTAGCTCTCAGGCATCTGTTCGTCTTCATTTTTCCATAAGAGTCCAGCTTCGAATCGTCCATAATCAAGTCTTCTGCAGGTTTTCTCTAGGATGGCGAATGCTCTTCCTTCTGAATCTGTGGTGGGTCTTCGTGGTTGCACACCAAGCGCCTCGATTGCAAAGTGGTCCTTGATGGCTTGATGCATCTGCTCATCTGGTATGCTGACATGTAGACACGTGTTCATGAAGTGTACTACTCTTACAGCCCCGGTGTCTGATCCGTGGAGCACCCATCCAAGCCCTGTCCTTGAAGCAACTGGTTCTCCTGGTTTCCCTTTCCTTACTTCTTGAGTCACTATCAGCTCCCAGTTGTCTTGACCGATGAGCAGCTGTGGTGATTTCCCTTTATAATAAAGAGAGTCGGCGATCTTCTTCAAATGTTGGCATTCTTCTATCCTTTTCTTCTCTAGGAACTGTGGTGCAAGCTTCAGCTCGTTGATAGTTCGGACTCTCTTCAAGGTCTTCTTGCTTCCTTGATGAACTCCCTTCACTACAAGATGCAGCGTCTGAGAATCCTTCTTCTTGATTTGCCCGCCTCCTACTGTCTCGATGACCAGCTCCTCTTTGTTGCCTTGAGCGCCGACTTCTTCTGCCACCTTTGCATCAATAAGCGACACTGTCGACCCTTCATCCATGAGGGCCAATATTCTTTGGGATCCATTTGGCCCGAAGACTTCTACTGGAACTATCTTCAGGTATGCCCTTGCGTTGTTGACTGCATTCTCTGATGTCATGACGCTTGTTACTTCTTCTTGTGTTTCCGCCTTCTTCTCTCCCGAGGTCCTGTTTTCTGATTCGACGTACAGCAAATGATGATGCCACCTCTTGCATTCCTTACATGGTGGTTTCTTGCAGCTCTCCTTTCGATGTTTTCCTTGAAGACATTTGAAGCAAACGTGACTTTTCTTTACTGTTGCCCATCGATCTTGCACTGACGTCTTCTGGAACTTCTGGCAGTCGACGAGGAAGTGTCCACCTTGGCACATAGGACAAGTCTTTTCTGTTGACTGTTTTGTATCTTTTTCTTTAAAGTGTTTTTCCCTCGTAGAATGCGTCGCTTGTCTATGAGTTCTTCTGAACCCACTCTTCTCTTCTGAGGTCGCGAAGGCTCCACATTTGTCTGCTTCGCTGTTCAGGAACTTGGAGACCATCGTCAGGTCGGAGAACTCGTTCCCCTTCCCTCTTCTATTGCTGCCGTAAAGTCATACCATCGGAACTTCAGGATTGTAGGCATTTTTTCTATAATTTGCTTTACCATTTCAAGTGAATGCAAGTACTGCGGTTTCTTCACACCCTTTATTGCTGCTACGCTGTTGTTGATTTGGCTCGCAAAGAAGCATATATCTCTTGGATTTTCAGAAATCTTTGGTAACGCCCTGACTTTGTCCAATTCAGCCAGCCCCAGCGCATCAGGTCTTCCATAAAGTCTCCTGAGGGCCTGCATTACTTCCAATGGAGAGGCTTCAGAGTACAGCAGGCTTTTGATAGCTTCTCTTGCGTTGCCCTTTAGTGCTCTTTTTAGTCGAGCCATGTTTTGGACTACGTTGAACATCGGGGCGGTATCTTCGTAGAACACCTTGAAGGCCAACCACTCGCTGCTGTTGCCATCGAAGTAGGGTAGCTCGTGGATATTCTTTGGCTGAGCTACTACTTCTGGTAAGGGCTTCCTTCAATGCTATCGTCAGCGGCGCTTGAATTTCACTCGTATCTTTTTTCATTGAGGAGTTCTCTTCAGGCTTCACATTTGGCTCTTCCGGAGGGTGCTGACCTCGTTTTTCGTGTTTTCTTCCATTACTGATGTCTCGATCCAGTTTTGCACCTGTGCTGTTGTGTCTTCCTGGTCTTCATCCACGGAGTCCTCATTTTCACATTGTGCCAGCTCTAATCTGACGCGTGCTAGCTTCGCCGCAGCTTGAGCTTGCTTCAGCTCCATGCGTGCTTCCTTCTTCCAGCTTCCGTCTCCTGACTGAGGAGCTCGTGGTCTTCATGGACTTGGCGCGACGACTGATCCCCTTTGGCTTAAGGGTTGTGTCAGAGCCATGAACGCCCTTCTCTGGAATGTCCTCTGGAGTCTTTTTGGTCGTCTCCTTCTGTGCGGCTTCATCCTTCTGTCCGTTATCCTCGAACGCCGCCGTGGTGGTAGTTGCAACCGTGGTCTCTGTCGTGGTGGTATTCTCTGTGGTCGTAGTGCCTGAAGATCTGACGATCTGACGTAGTTGCTGTTCCTGATGATGCTGACGCTGACGCAGAAGTGACCCCTTCGGATCCCGACATTTCACCTGTCGCGTCCTTATCTGAGGGACGGGGCGTGAGGGGGCATCCTTCTGTGACCTGGTAACCGGCATCTTGAACGGATTCTTCTATATACTTCTAGCAGGGATAAGGATTTCGAAGGACCAACTGTTTCGGACGGCAGGGACACGTCCTGTGCCCGCAGTCACCCTGGGACAATCTCTCACTTGATGACGTACGTTCCTTGCTTAATGCTGGTGACGCACGTCCCATGCACCCCTGAATCACCATCATCATTACAGCCCTTCACAAGTCCACTGCTGAACATAGGCCTCCCCCAAGTAATGCCACAAAGCACGGTCCTGAGCCACCTGCATCCATCGACTTCCTGCATATCTTACCAGGTCGTCACTCCATCTAGTGGGGGTCGCCCTACACTACGCCTACCGGTACGAGGCTGCCACTCGAGAACCTTTCTTCCCCATCGGTTATCGGTTCTTCGAGCTTCGGCCGGCCCATTGCCACTTCAGCTTACTAATCCGTTGGGCTATGTAGGTCACTCTGGTTTTACTGCGGATATCCTCATTTCTGAGTCTTTCACGCAGAGAAACTCCGAGCATAGCCCTCTCCATAGCTCGCTGAGCAACCTTAAGCGTCCTCATACGGCCAGCAGTGAAGGACCACGTCTCAGAACCGTAAGTCATCACTGGCAACACGCACTGGTTGTACAGTCTAGTTTTTAGAGATTGAGGTATACCTGACGAGAAGATATGTCGTAATTTCCCGAACGCTGCCCAGCCGAGTTGAATCCGTCGATAGACCTCTCGGTCGAAGTTGGACTTACCTAGTCGGACTATTTGTCCCAGGTAAACGTACTCGTCAACAACTTCGAGCATAGTGCTCCCAACAACTACCGGCATAGGTGTGACATGGACATTGAACATAATCACTGAATGCGTATGTATAATACGACCCCACTGGGACCTCGAGAGAGAGAGAGAGATAGACGATCAGCCGGGAGGAGGCAATTAAAACACTTTTTTCCTAGGTAGCTTCTTGTTCCTTAGGTTTCGGCTTCCTTTTTTCTTGTTGTTGTAGCCTCTTCGACGGCTGTGCTGCGACTGCGATTTGAGCTAGTATCTATCTAGTATCTAAATGTTAGTGCTGTTAGTCTATGCGATTGCAAATTTAAAATAGCTTTAAGAAAGGTAGGCGTCGCGTCCGGGGGGGAGTCACCCCCGTCTCTTGCTCAGTGTGTCGGTTGGGCGGTGAGAACCTCCTTAGTCCTAGCATTGTTTGTCCCATTTAGTGTGGGTGTAGTGTCATTGTGTGATGTGCCTGCGACGTTTGGGTCGATTGGATCGAGCGGTTGAAGTGATTCTATTAACACATTTCGCGATCTACGGAGATAGGGCGCGACGTTTGTTATCGGAACGTAGTTAGCTGCGTTTGTCACTAGCGGGTTTGGGTGGGTTTCTACTCTATCAAAGTAGCGTTGAGACATCTCCTTGAAGTATTCGGAGATAGAGGGTAATTCACAATCATTGTGCAAATCAGAGTTCCGTTGATACCACCGCGCACCGGTGGCTTTTCGGATGAAAAAGTTTTGGACTCTTTGGAGTTTTAAAATGTGGGTCTTATACGTGTGGGCGAAAGCTACACTAGCGTAGGACATAATTGGTCTAACGCAGGTTTTATACAGTCGGAGTTTGTGTCTTAGCGACAGCTTACTCTTGCTGTTAACGAGAGGGTGTAGACGGCCAATGACCGACTTGGCTCTGTTGCGTACTACACTTATGTGTGTCGCGAAACTCATGCGGGAGTCGAACGTGACGCCTTTTGGCCGATTTTTCCCAAGGGATTGGGCGGTCATATAAGGAAATTGTTTTTGGTTTAGAACCTGCTGATGAATTCGGTTGAAAGTATATTGCTACACTCTTTTCGGGATTCACGTCTATTCTCCATTGGCGGAAGCATTCACCTAGGCGATTGGTGGCTTTTTGGAGGTTTTACGAGAGTCTGTTTTTGTTGTAGTCTGACATATAGAGTGCCGTATCGTCGGCGAAGAGTGCGGTGTTCACCACGGGGTTTTTAGGGATATCATTCGTTAAGAGTGTGAAGAGGAGTGGAGATATGACGGAGCCCTATGGGACCCCGGCCTTGAGGAAGCGTTTCGAAGAACGGGTTCCCTCCACTCGATATCGAAAAGTGCGGTTCGAAAGGAAGGCTCGTATGATGTGCACGACCCTATCAGGCACGTTTAGTTTGTATAGCTTGTAAATCAAGCCGTCGTGCCAGACCTTGTCAAACGCCTTCGCGACATCAAAGAAGAGGGCTCCCGTGTTTCGAGCCTTTTTCCTTATCGGGTTTTGGTTGAAGCCAGACAGAATGTATTCTGTATAGGTGCATGAGTGATTGGCTCTAAAGCCAAACTGCTCGTCTTTTTTTTTTTGCATGGGGAAATGCCTACGCATACCCGCCTGGCGGGGGCAAGGACGGGTTATGTCGGACTCGCACCGACTAAAACCCCATGGTGTTCCACCTTTGTCGCATATTGGCAGGGCTACGGGAACGCTTTCGCACACATCCGCGGCCCTACTAGCGCCTGCCGCCCCATGGCAGTACCTCTTCGGGAGAGGAAAATTCCTCCCCGTTCTCCTTCCCAGGTAAAGCGCACCAGAACACATGGCGCGCCTTCCTCCACGGCCTCCAACTACGTCTGTGCAACAGACGCCCCCCGCGTCCGATGCACAAAGGCCATGGGGCCAGGAAAAACGAGCACTTAGAAGTACTAGCCTTCCCGACCCCAGCGGCGGATCTGGTCTATGGCTCCGCCGCCAACCAAGATTCGGCTGCGGAGGGTAGGGAGAGCGGCGCCTCGCAATACCGACAATCCTCTCCCCCCGCAGCCCCACCACCACCGCATCAACGGTGCGGCCCCGTTTGAGTCGCGAAGGATAGGGCGAGTGGCGCATCGCCATACCAACACTCCTCTTCCTCCGCGACTCCACCTTGGCTGCAGCGGTAGAGGGTGCGCGAGTCCCCACTCGCTGCAGTCCACCAGCACACATCCGAAGTGGGCTCCCCAAGCCCACTCGGAGCGGCCACCTCAGGCCGGCCCTTCACCTCGGGCCAGCCACGTGGGTTCCTCTTTGTTCACCGTGGGAGACCAAGCCACGGCTACTAAGCCCCCCCCGCCACGACAAGGCGGGAACCCGTTCGGGGGGAAACTGCTCGTCTGGGAGGAGTCTGTTGGATTCGGTATAATGACGGAAACGCTTGTGAATAATGCGCTCGTATAGCTTACCTAAAGTGTTGAGCAGAATAATGGGTCTGTAGCTAGAGGGACGATTACGCGGTTTACCCGGTTTTGGGATCCCTATTACGTCTGCCTCCTTCCAGTTGTCCGGGAAGGAGCAGTTCGTGAGAAAAGTGTTAAATATTCCTACAAGGAGGTAAATAAGTGGTGCCGAAAGGGATTTGATCACCTTGTTGCTGATGCCGTCTGGCCCAGGGGCTGATCTATTCTTAAGGCTTTTGATGGTTTCGGTGACTTCGTCTACTGTCACCGGATAAAGTGGTTCGCCCGCTGGTGGCAGCGCAGACCTACGTTCTACTTCCGTTTCTACCTCTAGTAGGTGAGCGGGATCTATCGGTGCGGTGGATGGCGTGCACTGGTATTCTAGACTGTCGGCTAGGCATTCGGATTTTTCGAGATCGTCTAGGGCGAGATCAGGGTGGTCCGGCCTCACGAGAGGCGGCATCATTAAGGATTTATCGGCTTTAAGAGCTCTCGTTAATTTCCAGAAGGCGTCTTGAGATGGTTCGATACCTTCTAAGAGGTTATCCCAGCTATCGTTTCTAAACTCTACTCGTTGTTTAATCTCGTTTTGTAGAGAACGTACCCCAAGTTTATTGGCTTCCGTGCGGTAGCGGTCATATGTTTTAAGCGCGGAATTTTTCGCTCTAATCAGCCGTCGCACATCCGCCGGAAGTGTATTGACGCTCGACACACGAACCTTACGGGAGCATTGTTCGACCGCTGATGTGAGGTGAGTCGAAAGGGCGCTAATCGCCCTGTCGGCCTCCTCTAGCGAGTCTATCTTGTCAGGTATAGTGTCCAAATGCTGGGAGTTCGTAGACTTAAGTTTGACCTCAAGTTTACGCCAGTCGACCATAGTTTTGGTATAAGGGACCTCACCTGCCGGCCAGCCCAGTTATAAAACGACCGGCCTGTGGTCTGAGACTAGTTCGATAATAGCCTCTATCGAATTAATAGTCAGTCGGATGTCTTTTAGCAGTGCTATATCAAGGACGTCCGGATGTTGGTTATTTGCAAAAGGATAGCGTGTTGGACTCTCGGGAGTGATAACATCGAAGTTAAGTCTCTCCGTGAGGTCTCTTAAAATAATTCCGTTAGGATTGTTAACGTTAGAATTCCAGCTAACGTGTTTACTATTTGGGTCTTCCGCAATTAATACGCTATGGCCTAAGTTTAATAGAGCCGATATGTCGGAATCTAATATACTTTTTAAGGGAGACAGGTATGCTGATGCAATTATTATTGGCGGATGGCCCGTAAGTGCTATCCTACAGACCGACGCTTCTAAGTTAGTAAGCGACGGAGTATCTATCGGTACACATTGCAAGGACCTTTTGTAGTGGATCAAGGTGCCGCCTTTAGGTCCGGTCAGCCTATCATTTCTTACTAAGGTATAATTGGCTATTTTGGGATCGCTCAAACTAGGTTTCAAGAAGGTCTTTTGCACTAGTATGATGTTGATATCATGGTCGCGTAAAAAAATACGTGATCTCTTCCTTTTGATCTCTAATACCGTTTGCATTAAAGTACGCGACAGTCAGAGACCTAGGCTTGGTTCTACCTATTTCCATTTTGGTTATAAAAAGAAAAAATTGGCTTACGAGCACTGGAACGAACCTATCGCTTGGATAAGACTGATATGCTCAATGGTAGCATTGAGCCTATCTTGAATGGACTTGGCTTCGCGAAGTTTGCGGGCTAAGGTTGTGACTTCGGCCACATTAATATTGCTGGCGAAGTTGAACACTAACGAAAGGTCAGTGTCGATGTTTGACGGTGCCTGAGGGGCGG